ACCCTAAACCTAACCCCTCCCAAGATGGACTACCTACTTCATCCTTGTCCAAGGAAGGAGTCTAGTTGTTCCTTCAATCCATATCCAAGATCCTAATTGGTTCAACCTAATTCCTTAGGACAAATCTAGATCGCATTACAATCCTTGTCTAACAACTCCTATTCGACGATTCACAACTCTGTCTAATGGTTGTCCATGTTGTAAAGGTACTTATTATTCCAAGGGGGGAAGGCACCCACTTCTTCTCAGGGGTTGACCTCATTACCTGACTTAGTTTCTGGTCGGTTGAAAAATTGTCATTTCTCGGAATCGAACCCATGTCCACCCAATTGCAGAATAAATCTGTTCTGTTCAAGGATTCTAATGTAGGATAATGTCATCCCTTATCTGAGGAAGACTCCCCCCTTACTACGGCTTCTTACCACTTCTGATTGACAACTTCTAATAGTTGTTGATTCATTAGACAATAAACAAAAGACAACTCTAAAACCGGAATTAGAACACTTCCTCCTGTCCACTTACTAATTCATGATGACATTACTCATCCTTGTCATGGTAACCTCTTCTAGTCGAAGGTTGATTCCTTCATCATGGTCCCCCTCCTATAATATAGGACGATGTTATGACCCTTTCAAAATTCTCCACCTAATCCAGATATCACTTCGAAACCGGTATAAAAACTCATAATATACGTGTTTAATGATGATTCAACCTTTCTAAACCCGAATTTCAAAAATTTTTTTTTTGACCCCTCTGATGGTCAATCTAATACCACGACTTAGGTTGGGTTGCCGCCTGGGGGGGGTAAAAATCGATCATCAGACAACTTCCTAATTTTCGCTTAATCACACCACTATAGACAGGGGGAGTCCAAAATGACTCTTCGTAACATCCTATATAGGGTTATTCTATCCTAAATGCTGGGTCCAATTCTTATGGACAACACCCCCTTTTTGGGTACATAATCTGTCTACTGGTTATTCAGTCCTTATATAGATTGATGTTATAGGTGGCTGTTCAATTTACACACATGCCATTCCAATACAACC